TGTTAGCAATAACTTCAATACTAAATACTGGAAGAATTTCAAGTCAGAATTTTTATACTAGAATTTTTTTGCAACATGCTGACATGTTTAGTTCACTACCACACCAAATTTTCTATACTAGAAAGTGAATACAAACTTGAACATAAAACAAGCACTAGGTCAAACAGTAACCTTCTAAAACAGCCATACTTTGACTGATTGAAACTAAATTAAAAATACTGTTTTCCATGAAGTCCTATAAAATTAAATTAAATAAATTAAACTGCAAAGTAGGGTTTTTGTCAAAGTATTTTTCCAAACAATTCAGCTTATTCAAATTTCATTGACTGGTTTGTAAAATTAGATGAAATGAAAAGTTTGTAAATCATGACAAAAAAATGTTAGCAATAATTTTAACAACACTAAATAATTGGAGAATTTCAACACACTTCAGTGTGTTGCAAAAACATTTTAGTAAGGAAAATGGCAACAGAAAGAACACTTCTACTCAGAATCAGAAAGAGAATGCTGTAATTCCTTAGTCAGTTAAAGAGGAAGGAGTGCTTGGAAAACTTAACCCTCACAGGGCATATTGAGGGCATGAGAGATAGAAGAAAACAGTGAGCCACTTACCTGATGAGCTTGTGTGAATGTATGGCAGAAAGGGTAGCAAGAGGCTTAGAAAAGGGAGAAAAACTGCTAAAGGCCACAAAGGATAGGAAGATATGGAGAGCTATGATTGCCTTGATGCTGAATTGATGATAATATATGAAAAGGACTCCAGATTAACAATTTGTTTTAATATCATTTCACATATTTAGAAAATCCCCCAAATTATTAAAGACAGGATAAGCTGGATTAGAGTCATCAAGACAACAAAGATGAGGATGCTGGATGAAGCAGTTCATAAAAGAATAACAATGTTTCAACTCAGAACTTCAGACAAATCTGACAAGGATAGAAAGAGTGTAAGCCATACTAGTGTTATCAAAACAACAAAGATGAGGATGCTGATCAAAGCAGTTTATGAAATAATGATACTGATTCAATTCTGACAATGTCATAAAAACCAAACTAGCATAGAGTGAGTGTAATCCAGACTAGTATCATCAAAACAACAGAGATGAGGATACTAGTCAAAGCAGTTTATGCTTCAACTCTGAATGTCATAAAACCCTAACAAGTATAGAGAGAGTATAAGAAGGACTAGTGTCACCAAAACAACAAAGATGAGGATATTAGTTGAAACAGTTCATGAAAAAATAACAATGTTTCAATTCAGAAATTCAGGCACTTCTTAACAACTCTTAACAAGGATAGAGAGAGTTTAACCTGGACTAGGGTTATCAAAACAACAAAGATGAGGATAGTGGTCAAAACATTTCATGAAAGAATGACAATGCTTTAACTCAGAATGTCATAAAACTGTGACAAGAATAGAGAGAGTGTAAGCAGGACTATTGTCATCAAAACAACAGAGATAAGGATACTGGTGCAAAGCAGTTGATGAAATAATGACAATGCTTCAACTCTGAATGTTAAAACTCTAACGAGGATAGTGACTAGTATCATCAAAACAACAAAGATGAAGATACTGGAAAGAGAGAGTGTAAATCTCAGTAAAATCCCAGAAGATCATACGTACAATCATCAAACTCATTATAGATGTAAAAAAAAAAACTTTGCAAAAAGATTGTTTTTACATAAGATATTTTCTGAAGATCATCTTTGATGAAAGGGTAACAAGAAAAAGTGTAGAAATATTGTTATTCAAAAATGTTTGCAGTAAGACAAAATAAAAATATTTATGGCCTTAATTTTATGGAACAAAATAAGAAACTTTAAGTAAAAAAATGTGTCACTGAAATTATAAATTTTGAGAAAATTGCATATTTTTTACATTAGCTTTTGCCAAATAAAATCTCTAAGATAAGTTTAGATCATTTCATTTTAAGTTTAGATTTTAGACGAGACCACAAACACTCAATATTTTGAGTGTGTATCTCATTATTTATTGGGTGGTCAATTTAATTATAAATTGTCTCTAATTTATACCTGGCACTCGGGGAATAACATGGTATGGTGACCAAGTAAATGTTTAAAGAAATAACAAAACAAGTGTTGCAGATATATTATATATTAAACAGTAAGTAAGGAGAATATTACATGACTAGTGAGTGTTTCACTTGACCCGGCATTCAATCTATTCGACTGTTCCCCCAAGACCTTCTCTCCTACTAATCTTATAGTAGGCGAAAGAGTCCAACATAGACTCTTTAGAGGGAGAACATCACAACACTAACCATTTGAAATTATATGTGTTCCCGGTAAAATGTGTTCTTCACTTACTGGAAGAAGTCTTGATGCTGTATTTGCAATTGGTTGAACGAAACATCTTCCACGGTCTCTTTCAACCTCGTCAAATATTCTGTGTTCTTGATACCCTTCCTCTGTTATATTTCCTTCTTCTGAAATATGTTTCATCTACTTCAACAACCATATCACTTCCACCGAGATTAATTGGGTCACAGGATTGGTGTTCTTTGCATTCTGTTATACAAGTCCTGGGCAACACAACACTGGTCTTGCCTTTTGCAATTTTGTATCCTGCTCTAGCATATTTTGACTCCAGGATTAAACAAAATGTCTCACTTGAACAAGATCTGACTGGGGGAATTTGAATAAAAAGAACCTGCTCTTGCAGATGTTCTTTTTTTATATGGATTATGATTCCATACATATTTGTCAACTCTAATGATCTTTCTGTTTAGTCCACATTGACGCTTACATTTTATATATTCGAATTGATTGGCAATTAGCCAATGTTTTGCCAATGATTTTAAAGAACACAATGTTTTGCCAATGATTTTAAAGAACACAATTCTCCAGCCAATCATTTTAAAGAACACAATTCTCCAGCTACACCAACTGCTTTGGTCAAGATGCTTATTGTTCACTATTGATTCAAGATTCCTTCATCAGTCAGCAATTGGCTGACAACAGGGAATCTATCAGCAGATCAAAGCATTTTTTTTTAAAATTAGCAACAATTTAAAAATTTTTCAAAATTATGTTTAACAAAAAAAGTGTAGAAAGTGGCAATAACCTATTATTGCTGGAGTTTCAGGCGTCACATTTCTGCTGATTAGGCACTTGATCCCAGATAACAATTACAAAAAAATTGGAAAATTGAGCAAGAAGTAATCTGATATATAAAATAATCTAACAAAAAAATGTATTATATCTGGGAAATCATCTTTATTCAAATTTTCTTCTTCTACAGGATATCCCTAAAGTCTGGATACATAGAAAATCTCACTAACTATATTTTTTTACCTCCACAGATTAAACATGGTTTTGTCAAAAGAAGAAAGAACAGACTTCTTTTTCTAGGATTATGCTAAAGAAGAAGGTGTACTCAATGAAAATCACAGATGCAACACACTTGTTTGAACGCATAAGGAATTAATTTGCTAAAATTGATAGCAATTTTGTGTTATTGCATTGAGTTCACATGAACCTTACAAAGTGAATCAACCTTTGCATCACTAATGATGGAAATCATATTTAAGATGTTATTTGTTAATATTCCAATTCAATAAAATGCTGTTGAAAATTTCATTTCTTGAAAATATGCATTTTTGCCTATGTGTCCTGGCTTTAGGGGTACTCTTTATAGTTCCAATGATATTTTGATATAATTATGAATAAAAAATTGTTTTAATAGTTATTTCAGTTTGGTTTCATTCAATGACAAATAGGTCATTTAATGCCAAAATTTTATTTTCTTGTGAGCTTTGGTAATTTTTTTTTTTTCAAAATTGTATTGCTGGTAATTTTTTAAAGTAATATATTGATGGTAATTTCTTTTTTTACTATATGAGGTACCCAGTGGGGATTAAACTCACTACTCAGTCATAATTATTCCCATGTAACAAGTTTGCACATCGAGGTGCCCATATAGTTTATTTTTAAAATGGTAAATAAGAAATTGTACTTGGTTCGCATATTTTTATAATCTTGTAAGTAAAACATTACCAAGGTAGTATACAGTAATAGTAGTGTCAAGGGAATAACTACCCTTTCAAAACTGTTTTTGCCAATATTTTTATGCATTTTGTTCTGATGTTTTTTCCTCTTTAGTACCTTGACTTTACAATTTTAAGCACAGTACTAAATTGGGAGCTAGGTCACAATATGTTACAGTTGAAATTGATAGATGCAACCATAAGTTCTATGGTAACAGTTTCTTCTCTCGGCCTTCTTGTTTGTGGAAATTTCTTCCGACTTGTTTGAAGAAATTTTTGAAGATCAATGTTGACTAGAAAAGTCAATGTTGATCTTCAAAAATTTAAATGTAATGTTAAACATCTTCTGTTTCTTTAAACCCCATTCTTTTATTGTCCTCACTCCTTAATGTTTTTGTTTTATTAGATTTTTTCACACACAGTAACTACTTAGTCTTAGTGGCTTTATCATCTTGCTTGGGATGAAATGATTATAAATAAAACCGCTTTGTCATTATTTTTTAAAAGCATCCTAATCTTTGTTGTTTCGATGACTCCAGTCCAGTCCAGCTTACAATCTTGCTATCCTTGTTAGGATTTTATAACATTCAGAGTTGAAGCATTGTCATTTATTCATGAACTATTTTGATCAGTATCCTCATCTTTGTTATTTTGATAACTCTCATTAAGCTTATACACTTTCTATCACCTTGTTTGGGTTTTATGATGCTCTGAGTGGAACCATTATTTTATTGATTGACTTGTTTTCTATGGCATATCAAACCTTTGCAGGTGATTTAAAGCTAGAAAATATTTTTTAGATTGTAAGAATTTTTTTGAACATGGTTTGTTGATACAACTATTACTAATTAACCCATAGCTGGAGGAGAAGAGGTGGATTCATACCTTTCCCAAGGGTATTTTTGCATAAGTGAACATAACAAACCCAACAGGAATTAGAATATGACTCTCTGATTAAAAATTCTGAGTCATTGCACCACCCACACATCCATGCTTACAGCACATGGTTTTCCCAAGTGTTCACCAATCTAGGTACTAACCAGTCTTGATGTTGCTTAACTTTGGTGATTGTATGGAAACAGGTATTTTGACATGATATGGACATAAGCCTTGAAAAATTGTCATTCTTTCATAAATTGTTTCTACCAGTATCCTCATCTTTGTTATTTTGATGAATCTCTCTCTGTCATTGTTAGGGTTCTATGACATTCAGAGTATTTTGATGACCCTAGTCAAGCTCAAACTCTCACTATCTTTCTTAGAGTTTTATACTCAAAGTTGAAGCATTGTCATTATTTCATCAACTGCTTTGAACCAGTATCCTCATCTTTATTGTTTTGATTATAGTAGTCCTGTTACAATTTTTCTATCCTTGTCAGGGTTTTATGACATTCTAATTTGAAGCATTGTCATTCTTTTATGATCTATTTTGAACCAGTATCCTCATCTTTGTTGTTTTGATGACAGTAATCCTGCTTAAACTTTCTCTGTCCTTGTCAGGGTTTTATGACATTCTAATTTGAAGCATTGTCATTTTTTTATGATCTGTTTTGAACCAGTATCCTCATCTTTGTTGTTTTGATGACAGTAATCCTGCTTAAACTTTCTCTGTCCTTGTCAGGGTTTTATGACATTCTAATTTGAAGCATTGTCATTTTTTTATGATCTGTTTTGAACCAGTATCCTCATCTTTGTTGTTTTAATGACTCTTAACCTGCTTACACTCTTGCTATGATTGTTATTTGCAATATGTTCATGTCACTTAGGATACTGCAAAATCTCACAATAAGCAATGTAGTGAGCATTAAAATACTTGCCCAAGGTCTTGATGTCAATTCTTTGGTTTCATCCAAAGCCAGCCATTTTTAACAAAATGAAAATAGAATGAAATGATGCCTCCTCTTCTTCGTCTACCCACTTCACTTTCTTGTAAGCTTCAGCAGACTTATGTCTGAGTTGATAACTGAATTCAAACAATGAGTAATGGTCTCTGCTTGCAGGAAAAATATCTGACAAATGAAAAGAAGAAAAAGAAAGGAAATATTTGCAAGGAATAGCGATTATTGACAGATTCTGTGAAAAGAGTTTTGATAAAGATCATTCTCTAATATGTTTTTGATACATTTTTATTCAATCGAGATAAGAAATTCTACGTGAAAAGCTCTTTTTTAACACGTTGTGCCAATGATATTGCCATATCCACCATTGAATGAGAAAAAGTTCATCCTAGCCCAATTCATAGCTGCATAAAACATTCTATAATCTGAGAAAAAAAGATTATATGGTATTGGCCAAATACTCTCAGAATCCAACATGTATTCCTAAAGAACTGATTCCAGTTGGACAAAAGAAGTTTAACAGAAATTAGAATAGCTAATTCCATAGTATTATTAAGACAATAGAATAGAAAAAAATAGTTAAAAGAATAATCTATACATATATATATACATATATACATATATATATACATATATATATATATTCAAACATGTTTCATTGAATAATATATACATATTGTGTCTACTTATTTTTATACTGATCCTTTCCAGTTTTCTAATCATTTTGTTGATAGTAAGATGAAATTCATCAAGGAAGTCACCGTAGTAATTTTTTTTTTTTTTTTTTCAAGAATATCTTAAGGGGAAAATCACAAAGACAAACTTATTGTAACAACAATAAAATCAACATTCTGTGGTGATAGTGATTTTTAGAAACACGTGCGAACACACTTTGTTATACTTATTTTAAAATTTAAAATTTATCTGTTGTAGCTATCAATTTTTTGGCAAAACAACAGTAAATAAATATGTTGGTTTGACAACCACAACATTAGGAAGATGTCTTACATTTCATTTTTTGGATACAAGTTCTATTGCACATCTAAAAACACATTCCCATCCACCTTCCCAATACAGGAAAATACTTGTTGACAACACCAATATACAATGCCATGAAAATAATAAACAAAAACTTAAAATACTTGAGACCCTCTATATCAAAATCAATGAACCAACACAAAAATTTATTGCAAGTATAGCAACAACATATTAAAATGAATATAACAAACAATTAATGCCATTTTACATTTCTAATAATTTCTGGTCAGCTTCTTTATATTTAGATGCTTGCAAAAAATTCTGTGACTACAATGGATAAATTTAAAATTTTAAAATAACCATAACATAGTGCATTTATGCGTGTTTTTAAAAATCACCATCACAAAGAAATGCAGATTTTCATCGCAGTTACAGGTTGCTTTCAAATAACACAACAGTTTTCAGAACAGAAAATCAAATCATCAAATTGAATTCAAGTTTCAACCTAATGTGTTATGTTCACTTTGCACTAAAACCCTTGGGAAAAGTATGAATTAATTTCTTTCAACTAATGTTCTTAGGAAAGGCATGAGTCCATTCCTTTGCCTCTAAAGCTTTTGAGAAAGGCATGTCCATTTCATTGCATTGAAACACATGGGAAAGTCATGAGTCTATTTTATTGCACTAAGCCTCTTTGGAAAGGCATGAGTTTATTCCTTTACACTAAAGCTTTTGGGAAAGGCATGATTCCATTTTTTGCACTAAAGCCCTTGAGAAATATGTGTAACTATTCTTTAAACTAATATTCTTGGGAAAGGCATGAGTCTATTTTATTGCACTAAATTTCTTGGAAAGGCATGAGTTTGTTTCTTTGCTCTAAAGCTTTTGAGAAAGGCATGAGTCCATTTCTTTTCACTAAAGCTTTTGGGAAAGGCATGAGTCCATTTCTTTGCACTAAAACCCTTGAGAAATATATGTAACTATTTTTTTTAAACTAATATTCTTGTGAAAGAGATGAATCTATTTCATTGCACTAAAACCCTTGGGAAAGGTATGAGTCCATTTCTTTGAACTGATGTCTTTGAGAAAGGCACATTCCTTTCTTTGCACTAAAGCTCTTGGGAAAGGCATAAAGCCATTTCCTGGCACTAATGCCCTTGGGAAGGGCATGAATTTATTTCTTCTTCTCCATAAAAACTATAGATTAAATAACAGAGTAGACCTACTTTAGACAATCTAAAAGGAAAACTCTGAATTCAAAACCATAGAAAAGACTAGAGGAAACCACGCCACTATTTTTCCCGAGAAGTGATGAAAATTCACAGTTAATAAATAATATACTAAAATAAATAGCATTGTAATGATGAGACAAATGATAAAATTATTTTGTCATAAACTTCATGTTATTTCAAAAAAAAAAAAAAAACAATATGTGAAGATATAAAAAATATAATGGGTGTATTTCAAAAGCTGTGAAATTTATCTATCTATCTAGTAAATAAATTTAATTAAAAGTCCAAAGATTTATCTCCTGACACAAAGTTTTAAAGAAACTACTCTGCTTTTCAAGAACACAATAAATCAATTCAAGATAAATAGATAACATGCATTCATAGCCTAATGATGTAACAAAGTATGTAATTTATGAATATTTATTTTTTTACATAATCTCCTACAGAGTGCGATGGGTAAATTGTCGCCATATTATATTTTTAATTTTGTGCATATGTGTTGTTTGTTTTTGATTTTGTCAACTGCACAGCATAGTAGGGTCAGTTGGGCACCGCCTGTGAAAAAAAGACAAACATAATGCAATTCACTCCACCAGAAATTTGGAAACAGCATGCTGTACTGCTTGGCATTCATGCCAGAAGCTTCAATACAAACATTTCAGAGTGTTTGAGGACAGTGCAGAAGATTCAAAAAGACTTATATGAATTTAATGGTGATTATGAAGATACGGCAGCTCAAAAACTCATTCTGATAAGAACTCCCGAATTTGTCGGTGAGGACCTCAGACTCAACACAGAAGCTTACATCAAGTGCCTTGAGATGGTAGCACTGCTCTGGGTCAATAGGGTGTCTGCTGGGAGACCCTATGTCTGGCAAAAGGTCACTGCACCATGCCACACTAGCAGGAGAACCTAGTTATGGCTGTCAGACAATTTCTGTGACCATATCACAGACTTCAACCCCCTTGATTATTATATGTGGGGCATAGTTGATTTAGAGATCAACAAAACTTCTTATAACACTAAAAATGAACTGAAGGCAAGGATTATAGCAGCATTCACCAACTTAAACAAGGAGATGATCCAGAAGAGATGCAGGAGATTTAGAATTCATCTAGAGGCCGTAGTTGAAGCCAGTGGCATTTTTATCAAACAAACTTAGTCTTTAGTATTTCAAAATATTTTTGTGTAATTTTGGTAAATATATCTTTTAAAATGAAATGTCAGTATTATTTTCATTTTTGCATAATTTAGATTACAATTTATCCATCACACCCTGTATATTGTATTATTATTATTATTATTATTATTATTATTATTATTTTTATTATTATTTCCTTTGATTTTTATTGTATACTCATTTCCTTCTGGGTTTCAACCAGAGACCTGAGGTCAGAAATGACTGCATGACATTTCCTACTGATCATTTTTGTAAACAAAAAACCTAAGCTCACAAACATTTTATATAGATAAAGCTTTTCATAACATGTGAGTACAATTTTTTGTATTTCTTTAAGGCAGTGGTTCCCTAACATTTTTTTTCTCTGGGCCACATTTTCAGAATGAAAATTTGCTCATACCTCATCAAATTTTATGTGATAAAAAGTACATTTAAAAATGAAAAAAAAAATAGAGCATGGTTAAAGGGAGAGAACCATGGATTTGAAGTCAGAACATTGTCATTGATAACTCTCCCCTCCAATTTGTGAACTCTAGTTAACTATATTCTTCATACTTGATATAATGCAAAATATCACAATGATAAAATCGGTTAATAATTATTTATAACTATTTATACTGCTACTCATGCATGCAATTACACACAATCCATAATAATATTTTAAATTTTGAAATCATTTTTATTTTTGGCATATGAATTTTTTTAAACTACTTCTAAATCTTTCAATCATTCTATCTCACATGCTATCCTTTTCCACCACACCTATAAGGCACACCATACCATTTAAGAACCACTGATTTAAGGCATGGCTTCCATGAATCCCTTCAATGAGTCAAGCAATCCAAGGGCTTCAACTGCAATTGAAATTATTGATGTTC